TCCCGGCGGGCGGGCCGGGCTGCGGAGCGGGAGGGAGGCGGCTGCCCGTTCCCGGGCACGGCCCGCCCCGACGGGGCTGGGGTTGGGAGAGGGACCGCCCCATCCCCGCCCGGTGCCGCTGCCCGTGTGGCGGTGAGAGCCGCGGGGCTGCGGGGTGACCCCGGGATGGGCGAGAGCCGGGTAGCCCTTAGGGCGATGAGTTTACGAGAGGAGTCAGAAGAAGAGATTGTAAAGTTGGGGCCGGGTGGTGGCAGAGTGTCCGGCTCTGGGGTGCTGGAGTTCGCCTTCCTTCAATTCCTGCATCCGTCTTGAGCCGCGGAACCTCTCCTCGGGGAACCAGGGAACAAGGTGCAGGCTTGTGTTTCACCTCAGTTGTGTTTCCCGGGAGGTCAGTGTGGAACAGCCTCGGGCAGAGGACACGGTGCCTTCTGCCACAAGCGACTGGAGCGGTGTTTCTGTCTTCTGACGGGACGCCACGGCAGCTTATCCAGGTGTAATGACCCCAAAAGAGTTTATTCTATGCATAAACAAAGTGCGGCAAAACAGCCCCATAAGCAAAACAGCCCCAGCCCTGCTGCTTGCCAACCTGTGCAGGACAAATTGCCACCGAAGGGGCAGTTGAGCTGCATGAGATGGCAATTGTTCCTGTAGGAGAAAAGCCCGTGGCCTCTCTCCTGCCACCATCTGCTGTCATCACCTCCCCTGACAGCCCCTTCCCCAAAATCACGAGGCACCCAGTGCTTTTGTTTCTCTTCGTTTTTTGTTCACTGGGATGAGAAGCCTTGGTGTAGGTCTGCCTGTAAGGTGGTGCTTGTGACTGTTGCCAAGTAGGGAGGAAGTGAAGCAACCCGGAAGCAGAAATAACAGCTGAGATGTCAACAGCGCTGTTTCTTCAGGCTGCGTAATCTCCTAAAGCCACATCGTAAACGGCCACTACCTTACTTATACACTTGGTGCAATATCTAAGACTGTGAAAGGACAGAAACAGCTGTCAAATCTGAATGATTTTGTCCATCCATGGAATACATAAAA